ACACCATCAGAGACAGACTGGGACACCATCAGAGACAGACTGGGACACCATCAGAGACAGACTGGGACACCATCAGAGACAGACTGGGACACCATCAGAGACAGACTGGGACAGACTGGGACACCATCAGAGACAGACTGGGACACCATCAGAGACAGGGACAGGGACAGAGACAGAGTCTGCAGGTCTTCAGGTGATGAGCTGTCAGGAAACAAAAACAACTTTTAGACTCAAGTTTTTCATCAAATGACACCTCCTCCTCCTGCACCTCCTCATGGACCTCCTCTTCCAGGATCTCTCAGTGAACTTGAGAGGGACTGATAGAGGAAGTGGTCACCTCCTCCAGCCTTGAGCGCTGGTCTTTGAGTGTTTTGGAGCTCCTGGGAGGTAGTAGGTAGATGGAGGAGACAGTTCTGTCTGCAGCTAACTGTGGACTCGTCACAAACTGATCTGCAGACGGTCAGGGCTTCATGCATTCAGTCAGATTCTGAACATAATTTATGACACACGCCTCACTTGTCAAACTGAACCTTTTATTTATAAAGTTTGTACTGATGTTTCCTTTGTTTATGTTTGTTTCCAATGATGACTAGTTAGCAGCTAGCAGCTATCACTAGTTAGCAATCGAGGCTAAAAACAACAGCCCCATCTTTACATTTATTGTAAATAGTAATTAATTTTAACCTTATTCAAGGCTAATGGTTGTTTTTTTGTCCAGGGTCACCTTCAACAACAACCAGCTGAGCTCCTGGATGTTCTCCACCTTCTCCTGCACCTATCAGGACCAGCTGCCCTGCTGACGGTGAGGAGGCAGCTGCTCTCAGAGCCCCTCTGGTTACATTCAGACTTTAAAGTACTGTTTTTAGGTGTTGGTGTGGTTTTTAAAATGTCTGACTTTATTTTGTGAAATAAAGATACTATCAGCATTAGTTTGTTTTTCATTGAGTTAAATCCATAAAGAATAAGGAACATATCTACTCACACTCCCAGACATAAAGTGTGCAGTAAGTGTGAGTTCATTTATTAGAAAATCATTTTTAATTTCATTTATAAACAACAGTTTACTGTAGCAGGCTATGATTATTATTTACAGACTAAATATCAGTTTTTTTATGTCAACAGTTAGCTTTAGCACAGGATGAACAACAACAAACAGCTTCTGTTTTAAATATCACACATATATAACTGTAGAGTTAAAGACCTTCATCCCACAGAGACACACTGGTCAGAGGAAAATCATCAGACCAGAACCCTGACCTCTGACCCCTAACATTTGACCTCTGATATTTGACCTTTGACCCCCTAACATTTAACCTCTGACCCCCTAACATTTGACCTCTGACCCCCTAACATTTAACCTCTGACCCCCTAACATTTGACCTCTGACCCCTAACATTTGACCTCTGACCCCTAACATTTGACCTCTGACCCCTAACATTTAACCTCTGACCCCTAACATTTAACCTCTGACCCCTAACATTTGACCTCTGACCCCTAACATTTGACCCCTGACCCCTAACATTTGACCCCTGACCCCTAACATTTGATCTGACCCCTAACATTTGACCCCCCCCTGACCTCTGATATTTGACCCCTGACCTCTACGTTGGTGAAGCAGAACTTAGATTAAACCCCTGACCTCTGACCCCTAACATTTGACCCCTGACCCCTAACATTCGACCCCCTGACCCCTGTCGTTCGACCCCTGACCTCTAACATTTGACCCCTGACCCCTAACATTCAACCCCCTGACCCCTGTCGTTCGACCCCTGACCTCTAACATTTGACCCCTGACCTCTGCGTTGATGAAGCAGAATTTAGATTTGACCCCTGACCTCTGATATTTGACCCCCGACCCCTAACATTTGACCTCTGACCCCTAACATTTGACCTCTGACCCCTAACATTCGACCCCCTGACCCCTGTCGTTCGACCCCTGACCTCTAACATTTGACCCCTGACCTCTGCGTTGGTGAAGAACTTAGATTTGACCCCTGACCTCTGATATTTGACCCCCGACCCCTAACATTTGACCCCTGATATTTGACCACCGACCTCTGATATTTGACCCCCAACCTCTAATATTCAACCCCTGACCTCTGATATTCAACCCCTTACTCCTAACATTTGACCCCTGGCCCCTGACATTTGACCCCTGACCTCTGACATTTGACCCCTGACCCCTAACATTTGACCCCTGACCCCTAACATTTGACCCCTGACCTCTGCGTTGGTGAAACAACTTAGATTTGACCCCTGACATTTGACCCCTGATCTCTGATATTTGACCCCTGACCTCTGATATTCGACCCCTTACCCCTAACATCTGACCCCTGACCTCTGATATTTGACCCCTGACCTCTGACATTCGACCCCCGACCTCTGACATTCGACCCCCGACCTCTGACATTTGAACCCTGACCCCTAACATCTGACCCCTGACCTCTGACATTCGACCCCTTACCCCTAACATCTGACCCCCTGACCTATGACCCATAACATTTGACCCCTAACCTCTGATATTTGACCCCTGACCTCTGACATTCGACCCCCGACCTCTGACATTCGACCCCCGACCTCTGACATTNACATCTGGAGGACTCCGAGGACATGTAGTGGACCTTGAAGACATCTGGAGGACTCTGAGGATATGTAGTGGACCTTGAAGACATCTGGAGGACTCTGAGGACATGTATTGGACCTTGAAGACATCTGGAGGACTCTGAGGACATGTAGTGGACCTTGAAGACATCTGGAGGACTCTGAGGACATGTAGTGGACCTTGAGACATCTGGAGGACTCTGAGGACATGTAGTAGACCTTGAAGACATCTGGAGGACAGGTAATACCTGCAGGTGTTTCTCTCAAGGACCATGAGGTAACAGAACCTTGTTAGAAGCTGGTCCAACACAGACCCATGTGTGGACTGAAGACCAGTCTGTGTGTGTGTGTGTGTGTGTGTGTGTGTGT